ATAAATCTTACACAGCTCTCAAATTTGCTCACTCAGAAAGATTACTTCTTGAACATTGTGGGAGAGGTTCAGCAAGCAGTGAGCGCAGTGATGAAATTAACTATGTCCTCTGACTTGAAAAAGCTGATCGCCTTTCAACAATCATTGAAACGAAGAGAAGATAACCTTATGGAAAGCAAAGCACTGCATGGAAGGTACCCTCACGAGTCTGAGAAACCAGAAGTCGACATCTCTGCGTCGCACGCATGGCCCAGCACGGGGGGGAATTTTCCCCCCCTTTCCCGGGGAGACCAATGGGGGAAAGCGCCCTTTTTTTTTTTTTTTCCGATTGATAGCTATCCAGGACAAGTGATAACCACATTGAATACAGAAAACAACATTCTGAGAGATTTCGTACCAATTTCATTCCGGACTCGTGTAAAAAGATGTGAGGCTGTAGCAAAACTATCGCAACACTAACAATGGATGTAGCAGCCACGCACAGTGGAATAACAAAAAAGACATGATGGAAAGTGGCGAAGCAGCGTACACAATTATTGGCTGTGCAGAAACGGCTTACTCCCACTTCCGTCGCCGTATTATAAATATGTGCTTCAGAATGCTGCTTTAAATTAGTGAGCCACCACACTCTACTGGATCGTTCCATTATTCACTGACAGACATGTCGGCCGCAATAAGACCAGATATAACCAGTACATTCATAGAAACAACAGCACGTTTTCCTTATCGATATTATTCAATACCCCAATACCCAAACATATCGGAAAATTATCAAGAGAAGATCCAAGAAGTTACCAATCTCGCCTATGAGTCGCAACTCAGTGGAACTTCCCAGTAAAGTGACCGACTGTGCCCTATCAATAATATTCAGCTACGAGTGATCCCGAAAATGCACACTTCGGCACTGGAGTGTCTTCAACTGGATACCAGGAATGTATATAATATTGCAAAAGACAGTAATTTTGAATTACCATGTCGTATTGTCAAAGCCATTCCTGAACCTTTCAGTAAAGCAAACCACACACCTAGGTCTCTACCTGTGTGTGGTTGACATACCGACAGTAGCATTCACTTGAATAAGTAAAATAAATAATAATAATAATAATAATATAATAATAATAATAATAATGGTATTTCATCAACAGGCTTGGTTGCTGAGGATCGGGGGATTGTGAAAGAGAAACTCCAGCTAAAGAGTTCAGCTATCAAGTAAAGCAGAAGGCAGTGCTCTATGAAATCACCTATATTGTGCTTAAGTTCTCTCTTTGAGTAATTGAAGAGGAACCTGAGAACACTGGAGCATGGAATCCGCCACCGGCTTCGCCGTAGCTTGCGGCACAGTGGCGCGAAAGCAGTCGGCGCGACGGAGAAGACACTAGAATACGTTTCCCTCGCTTTTGACTCGATTGTTGCGTTGGTTGACGAGTTTCCGGGCGAGTCAACTGATTAGAGTATTAGTCCCGTAAGTTAAGTGCATGTTTTTTTCATCTTGAGTTGGCCCCCTTTAACCTACCGTCTGCTAGTGAGGGTTTCTCCAAACAGGTATCTCCCGCCAGCGAGGCACGGCCGGGAGAAGCTCTAAGCTCCCGACTGGTCTCCTGTCATGTGTGGTGGTGTAGGGTATATTACTGTACGTGTGTGTAAGTAAGAGGTGAGGATATGACAAGGCCGCGCTCGATCCGTGCCCCGTTTGTTGGGGTACTGCCAGGTATTCGCCAGGTGTTGATCTGACGGACCCCGAAAAGCTTCCAATCAGAGGAGCCCGACACCGGAATTCTCCTACAGACAGCAGCTGAACTGGACCAAGCTATGAAGCTATTGTCGAAAAACCACCGTCGCGACCCGAACCATACGTCGGGATCTCCCGATTACAAGCACTGCTGCAACATCAGCTGATACCCTGAACCATGTCAGCCTGTGTTTATTTTGACCAAGGGGGTACAGAGAGGGCCCCGTTTTCGAACATTTCCCTAAATCTTATCAATCTCTTAGTAGTTTTTTTTAAATCTGACAATAACGATTTTTTAAAAATTTATTTACTTTGGCTCGCTTCAGAAAAAGCTGAGATCATTAAAGGCTACTATTATGCTATGAGCAAGTAGTAACCTTAACCCAACAATTGGATAATGTAAAAAGAATAATTAATTACAGTTATTTTTCACAGAAATTTAAATTTATTTGTCTAACCCAGTGAATCAGGAATTTTTTTTCACCACATTTAGCAAAATGGCTCTCCATGTCTGTAAATTGTTCAACATAAATCCATTTGTATGTATTAATAGTAATCATTGCAGTTGTTTAATTTTCTTTGTAGTCTTTTTTTATTTATGTACTAGTAAAATATTACATATGTAAATATAAAAAAGTTTAATGGATGAAGGGGCTCAGAAATGTAGTTTGTCCCTCCTACTCTCCCCGTCTCCTCGTTGTTTTAGTCCGGTGCAAGCCTTTCATCTTGACTTTTGCTTGATTTCCAGGGGAGCTAAATGAAGTAGCGCTCCTTTATTTTTTAATGAGAACAGTTTAAGAATGTTGAATTTTGCTTGGGATAGTGTTTTACATGAAATACATGCTACATAACATACAAATTGTAATATAAGATATTATAGACCTCTAAAATAAAGAGTGAATAGGAGTTTACATCTTTAGTTAGTAAGTAGTGTGAATTCACCGTTTCTTATTTTGTTCAAAAAAACTTCTATTAATGCTGTACATATACAATGCTTCTAACAATTTATAATTAATGGGTTTTTGAATGCGAGAAAGGAATGTAATTTTTTGACATCTCATGTCTTCCGAATAAAGAAATTGCATTGGAAATTACAATCATTTCTGACGCCGATAATCGATTTCGAAACACCTTTTCCTAAAACCATCGATTATTTAAAAACCCGGTTGCTTCATCATTGTCTTTCGTATGCCCGGGATAATAATTCGCACAATATGTTCGTGTGTTGGCCCCACTGCTTGCCGACTCGAGGTCAGGGCGGCGGCGCCGTGGCCGCCGCCTCCGCCGCCTCCGCCGCCGCCGCCGCCTCCGCCTCCGCCGCCGCGTCTGCCGCTACGTTTTTTGTGTGCATGTAGTAGAATAACTCGGCAACGCAATGGAGACCCACTGATATCTCGAGTGACGCATCCATATGCGGACCATGTGAGGTGGCTCAGAGCATCAACTAAAGTTACTGCAGTGCCTCTGACCCTGAGATGATAGGGTTTCTCTCTCGACGATGTGGCGGGATTTTCCACACAAGACAGCTGGGTCGAATTTAATTGCTGTCCAAATTCTAAAATTCCGTTGCTCAGTCCGGTAGTCTTCTGTGGCTTCTCCGATCTACACCAGGTGAATGCCGGAGTAGTTCTCCAACTGACGGACAGTGCCGTATCTTTCCTTTCTCTTCCTTAGCCTATCATCACACCTTATTTACACACACACACACATGGACATTTGCTACACTAGCACACATGTCGGAAGACCAATCGGGAGATTAAAGCTGATCCTAGCTGCGGCGGTGCGCCGCTGCTGTGGTGGTGGTATGTGGGAAAATCCCGCAAGATAGCGTGTATGTCGGCACCGGATCTCATCAGCTAGTAGCCAACTCCTGTAATAAAACATGCACTACGCTTGTGGGGCTAATAACCCTAGCAGTGGAAACACGAAATAATCAGCCAATCAATCCAAGAATAACGACATGAATTAAATCCAACCGGGCGTAGTGCAATACGGCTGTAAATAAATGCTGTGAGACCAATATTTTTTTCTGAGTAACAGATATCTTCGGTGTAACTTGTAGAGAGTCTGTCGAACAAGTGGAGGCTGTTGCTTTGCCCTGCTGCCTCTCCCGTTTCCTGTTGTGTCTGTGCGGTCGATGCACCGTGCGGGGCCGTCTGCCGCACGCCCAGACGCAATCCACTCGCCCGCCTTTTGTTTCAGACGCCAATCGCCTGCCGCCTGCTGTAGTTCGTCTTCCTCTCCCACAGAGCGCATTCTTTGACATCCGACGAAGAAATTGATTCCGTTCAGACTCCACCCGTTAAATAATTTTAATAGGTGGAATACCACTTTTTAACCTGTTTTATTGCCCTATCGTAAGGTATATTTAAATGTTTGATGTCTTTGCTTAAATACACTTTCAAAACATAGTACGTGTGTAAGTAGTTCAATCACATAATAATACTTGTATTTCATCTTTGGGGAATCGTGTGAAAGTTTAATTCACGGGCAAGAAGAATTATAAGTAAACCTGGAGTACTTGCAGAGAGAGGGTCATAAAATATAAATGATACCCAATCACTTTGTTCAGTTACCAATTTCTTCATCCAACTATATAAGTGTGATTTATTGTTAACTTACTAATATGTCTTGAAGCGTAAAACGTGTGGCTAAGTTTAATGTGTTTCAATTTAGTATGCCATTAGTATATCATACAATTTAACTTTTTTTAATCTGCACATGTCGTTTAGTATGTTTTCATAGTAATTTAATTTAGTGTAGTAATATAATTCATTATGTTTGTGTACAGTGTGCCATTTAGTATATAATACAATTTAACTTTTTTTTGTTTGAACGTCTCTACAATTTGTACAGCCCTATATATATATATATATATATATATATATATATATATATAATATATGTGTGTGTGTGTGAGAGAGAGAGAGAGAGAGAGAGAGAGGGAGGGAGGGAGAGGGAGGGAGGGAGAGGGAGAGAGAGATATTAATCATTCCGTCTTTCTCACTTCATGTACAATCCGACAGTTTCGTATTACTTTACATTGTATGTTTTTATAATGATTGAATCTGATGTTTTTAAAAAGTAATTAATTTATTCATTTCTCAATTGTTTTCATATGATCTCTTTTAATACTCTCTGACTTTTGTGTCATTTATCTTCACAGCATGAATAGTGATTATTTAAACTGTGTGATGAATTCACGTGTACCTACTATTTAAGTAGTGGTTGGTCAGAGTTAGCGTTCTGATTTTGCGGCGTGTGTTGGCAGCGCTGGACCTGGCGCAGAACAGCAACGTGCAGGATGCGTTTGTCATCGCGGTGGAGCAGCAGGCCAGGGAGCGCCTGGAGCGCCTCACAGCGCTCAAGAAAATCAAACCGGTGGACATGTCCAAGCTCTCCCAGCAGGTAGGTCCCTGCCCCGCCCCGACCCGCCACCACACCCCACACAGAACGCACTTTGACGTGCACGAACACAGACGCGAACACTCATAGACACACACACAAGGACAAACGTCCAAGATACAAAGACATACACGTACATTCAAACATTCTTAGACATACACTCATATACACAGACGCCACACATACACAAATAGACATACACATGCTCGGAGATACAACATAGGCATACGATAACAAACGCACATAAATAAGAACCCACACAAACGCATATTTACTGACACATACATACTTATCCTTTCTCTCTCACTCTCTCTCACTCTCTCACTCACTCACTCATTCACTCTGTCTGTCTGCCTCTCTCTCTGTCTCTTACACACACACACTCTCTCACACACACACACTCACTCACATAAATACACACACTCACATACACACACACTTACGCTATGTCCTTTGCTTAGCGCTGCTCTTCAGCTTTGACCATTTGCCTCTCTCTCATCTCAACATTTCGTCACTTTGAGCTTCCATCAATCTGTTTTGTTTAACTATTTACATTTTTTCATACATTTTCTTTCGCTTTCTCTCCCTTTGGCCTCTTTCTTTCCTTTCCTTTTCCTCTTTCTAGTTCCCCCTGCCTCTCTTTTTGTCACACATTTTTCACACTGTACCGTCCTCTTTCCTATTTTCTCCATACCTGAAGCTTTTATTATAACTTTTTTCAATTGTTCTCTCTCTCTCTTTCTCTCTCTCTCTCTCTCGCTCTTTCTCTTTCTATCTTTCTCTCTCTTTTTTTCTCTTTCTCTCTCTCTCTCTCTCTCACTCACTCACTTACATATCAACTTTTCATAATTTCGAGCTTCCTTCAATATGTTTTGTTTAACTTCTTACATTTTTTCATACATTTTCTTTCGCTTTCTCTCCCTCTTTCCTTCTTTTCTTCCTTTGCCTCACTCTAGTTCCTCCTGTCTTTCTTTCTATCACACATTTTTCACACTGTACTGGCTTCGTTCCAATTTTCTCCATACCCGAAGTTGTTTTTTTTTTCAATTTCTATTCTCTCTCTCTCTCTGTCTCTCTCTCTCTCTCTCTGTCTCTCTCTCTCTCTCTCTCTCTCTCTCTTACCTATGTTCCTTTTCTCACTCCTTAACTTTGTGGATATTTGCGACTTTCCTTTGTCTCGTTTCATTTTCAGTCCTCTTTTCTTTCCCCACTCCCTTCGTTTTCTTTTCTTCTTCATTCTCTCTTCAGCTTCCTTACTTTGCCTCTCTGTCCTTTCAGTCTCTCAGAGAAATCCTGGCTTCTATGCAATGTTTACTTTCATACTTCACACAGTGCTTCTCATCCTCAGAAACTTTTCACACTTCTTTAAGTACATTTAGTAGTGCACATTCGAGCACGCACTCGATGTTAAAACATACTCACATAAATACACCTACAAGTTCTCAGGTTAAAAATAAATATTGGCGATAACCGGTATTGGTTTTCATTGAAGTTTAAAAACATGCAACTCACGTCGTTTCTCCAACAGATTCCTCACATCATAATGTAAAACAATAATAAATTCTGATCACGAATATGGATACATGTTCGTCTCTTTAACAAATGCAAGTCATAGCCAGTCTTTATCTCGAAAACCAATAGATTCTGTGTCCATTATATTTTATATTTCACGATAATTATGTTTTCAATAATGTAAACTTGTATATTGCATAAATGTCTTTTAAAAAACGTTAAAAAACGTTTCTCAGTGCCACTTCAGTATTGTGCAGTGCAAATGAATCAGTGTTATATAGTTATAAAGCCTTTCTTAAATGTGTCTTGCACAGCGCTTTAAGAGTAATCAAGTGATTTCTATCGTGCTTTATTTCAAAGAACAGCTTTATTTATTAGCAAACTTTTGAAGATCTGTTTAAAAAATGTTTTATTTTTAACTTTATTTTTCTCTCAATATTCATCTGCTGCTAACACATATATTATATCGACTTCGAGTATCGTTAAACTTCACGAGTTTTGAAGCAGAAATGTGGGTTATTAAGCCCTACACAAATTGATCGCCATTTCAGATTAATATTCTGCATGAAAACTTAATATCATCCTTCTCCAACTTGAATTAAATAAAATAAAGTGACATATATTCGTGACTTGAACTCTAATTTTGTCCTAGATACAAGAGAAGAATTTTAGAAAATATTTGGACAAATTTCATGTAGTTTGGAAGAACAGTCGAACATCGCCTATTCTAGTTTCAAGAGTTATCGCGGTTATTTTTAATGTAGTTTTTTTCCTGTTTGTTCCCCTAAATGAGACTCCCTAAATTTTCCATTAATAGATACATAGTCACACAGATACATAAATATAAAGTAATCCATCACTACCTCAATATTAGACGTATACGTCTAACGCCTACCGCGAGAGCTGTTTCATCGTGCAACACACTTGTGTGTGAAGGAATGCCTACCTGCCAGGGGCGCGCGATTGTGCACTGCTGATAGTTCCTTTGGACACCGGCAGAGAGCGCTAAGAGCCAGTTTCTCGTTAGTATGAAAAAGAATTTCACTTTCAACGTGCTGTCGGTGATTTTCAGTTGTGCGGTATCATAATAAAAGAGAAGGAATCTCAGACTTTTTTGATTGTGAATATGTACAGATTGCGATCTTGAGTGAAAAGCGTTTCAGAGTTATTCTATTGGAACGTGGTGAAATAGGCTTCTATTAATAACTTCTCCGAATGACTAAAAGACTTATTGTGATTTATAAAGTATTATTACAATATAAACGCATCGTTACATCAAGTATTTGAAAATCACTCGAATAAGCCAATTAAAAGATAGAACCATTTTTACTTATCGATATAATAATCCTGTAGAGCTATAGCAGCTTTAGATTATGTGCAAGTATCGAGTCATGTACGAATTGGTGTTTCCGCATAGTTGATGAATGGTTTAAATCTAAAATATACGTATTCCGACTGAACCACTCATAATGATTAATTTCACCATAGTTCAACCGTCTTAAATAAACCAGAAAAAATTAAATCAAACTATTTCAAATAAAATATTCTATTTAAACAGAAAAGTGGAAATAAATCAAAAGACTCATTGTTTACAAACATAGATGGCAAATAGATGGTTAATAATTGATGTTATCCATCAGTAGAAATTTAGGAGCCGAATAGGCTACTAATCGCCATTGTTTAATACTAAGTGCTGTTCTATTTAAAAGTCGGAGATCTGTCAAAATTATTCAGAATAGTTACAATATTTATTCATTTTTGGTAAACATTAGTGTTTTGAGTTACATTTTGAGCTTATAAACTATTTTTACTCATTATGTACCTCTGTTTTCATTTGGAATGGAATTTTAAGTACACCAACTTTTTGTGAATTGGCATTTACTTCGTTGTTTTATCACATCAATTGTTATTAGTGTCAATTACGCATCAACAAATATATTAATATATACATATATAGTTAAAATGTGTCTCCTCTTAATTCACCGATACGTCAATCAGGAGTCTATAAGCTGAGTCGAAGAAGTATACATTGGAATAGGTAGCCATTGCAATGCCACCCACTCGTTTAAAGAAAACAAATGAGGGATCAAGCATTATCGCAAATAAAAAAAACAAATAAAGGAGTTATATTTTAGTTTTATAAAGAAAACAAAAAATATTATGAGTTCGGGGATATCAACAAAATAAGCCAATAAAAAATAAAGACACAAAGAGGCACTGCAAACGCAAAATTGAAAAAATGATTTTCTTCGTCGTACTAAAGTTAAAACGTCTCGCTACTTGAAGTTCTCAATAAGAATGACGCACCTGACCTGGTTCGTGGAATGCTAGAAATTAGTTAGTTAATGCTTTGTTTTATGCAAATTTCGCTACGCCTCTTTTACCATCTTGTGGAGAAGGGAGGAATTACTCTGCGACAACGTAGGCGGTTTTGAATTAACCTCAGAGGATTCTTTTAGGGTTGACGGTCTTTTACTTGCACATAGGACAGCCGTCCGACAATCTACAACATGGGACAGCCGTCCGACAATCTACAACATGGGACAGTCGTCTTTACCAATGGCCCTCCAATGGAAGGCGGACGAAATAATTTTTTCACCCTTTAACATTCACAGCTTCGTTCGGGTTTCAACCCGCAAACTTGGGTACAACCAACGAGTTAAAATATACTACATAGAGTGTCTGTCCCTATAGTTTTAGCGCTCTTGGTGGAGGCTCGCCGAACTAGTGGCCGCCATGTTTTTTGAAGTCAAACATAGGAGTGGCGGTGTATTCAACTGCTATACTGAATCGACATTGTAGTGTTGTTCGTATCACAACTTATTCCTTTATTATTTGTCGTTTAATGGTATTTAAATACTGGTATTGGAATAACATTCACTTTCAGACTTTGTGTTAACTACAATAACATTTCAATAGCTTCCATTCTTATGACAACAATCGATGCAGCAAGCAACGTGATTTTAATGTGTCTCAATTTGTTCTCCTTATATATTGTGATTTCGTGTTTAAATGATTGGTTTTTGGTCGTTAGACCACACAAGAGGATTTATATTAAGCCTGGCCCGCGCCCACCTATCCGAACGTAATGCTAGAATTCTTTGTTTCCCAGAGGGCGCTGCTTTGACCGCAAAAAAACATGGCTTCAGTTTGCTTCAAAGATGGAGGCGCTTCAGCCACTCTGTGTAGTACATTCTAGCTCATCGGATACAAAACACCGACTCGCTAATCGTTATGTGGCCTACCACTGAAGCCGGAGTACGCGTGTAGGGTAGATACATTTCTTTGTCGCGTTGCCGACCTCTCGTGCGCCAACCAAAGACGTACAAATCGTCGTGCCCGCTGTATCAGAATCGCGTCTTGTGTGTGAGAAGCGCAAGTTACTGTTATCGTGCACATCCATCTCACGGAATTTATCCTTCCGCCTCTGCCTCGGATGCCTCCCCCAGTGATTATGCGGCCGGCCGCCATTTGAAGCACGCGAGGGCCTTCCCGTTTGTGCTGTTCCCCTCCGACCGTTAGCGCATTGTTGCGTGCCTGCTCTCAGTTTTGCTTTCCGGCATCGCGCATCTTTTCCATTTTTTTTTCTTTCTTGACGCTGCTGCGGTTATATTCGGCTTTGTGAAGTAGCGGAATGCGATTTGGGAAATCTTCATTCATGGTTATTTGGATTGGTATTATGGGCGGTAATTTAGAGTGATTGTGATTTGGAAAATTGTTTTCATTACTATGCAATTATTGCTGGGAAACAGTTGTGTTATTTTACGTCCTTTGCGATGAATTGTGTAACCGATTGGGAAGTGAGGTTTTGTGAGGAAAATAATTGTAACATCGTATGTTGAATTTGCACGTTTTCTTAAAAAAGAAACATAAATAAAATCGAAGAAAAAGGTGAAAAATGACCTACAAAACCATTCGTGATTAAATCTGTTCTGAAAAATATTAAGAAAAGAGTTTCAAATAGAGATTTAAATTATTACAATTATCACAATTCTGAAGAAAATGTGTAAATTCTTCCCTAAAGAATGGTGTG